CATTGTCCCCTTAGATGCCTTCATAATTGTCTTATTCAGTAACCTGATAGATGAGAAACACAGTCAAACCAGTACTAGTGACCAGCACTGTGTATTAAGGACCACCTGGTCATTGATATACAGTCAAACATGTGACTATCTCTGCTTTAGGACCAACTTGCCATTGTAGTCTCTTCGATTGCTTTGTCCACTGACCCAAGCATTTAGAATCCTGTGTATAGTTTTCTTTGAGTCCCTTGTATAGTCACAATAGACAGGGTTGACTGGACAGGAAATTGACTTCATTCCTTAGGTTCATTGTTTTGTGACTAACACACTCACACTACTCGTACAAACAATCTCAGAGTCTGTAGTCATAAAACAGAAATAAGAAAACTTTAAAAAGCTAAAGAAGAACAAGAAGAAGCTGGCTAATATGTAGCTGTCAAAATGTCTGGCTGTTTTCTAGTTGTAAAATGTCCCAAAATATCGTGAAGGGTCCATCAATTTTATCAGTGTTCCTCGTCTTTCTTAGATTTAGATTTACGGAGAACAAAGAAAAAATCAGATCACCAGGTTTCTTTTCTTTGATGCTTTCACAAAATGGCTAAAAACTCAATTGAGTATGTATCCAAGAAATGAATGGTAGAATCTTGTAAATCTGCATGTACTCAAATTAAAAATTTTCCAGGGACCCATAGAATGATTGTTCTAGATGTACAAAACATGCAGTCAAAATCATGCAGTCATCTTTGGTATTCTAAACGTTCTTGTAAATTTTTCAATTCTTTTCCTGTTAAGCAGCATCCCAAAATAAGCCATTTGATGACTTCTTAAGGTATACGTCTGTTGTTTAAGTATGTATTCAGAAAGAAATTCAGAAGAAACAAGGATGATGCAATGTCTAAATGTACATCATATACAAGTAAAAAAATGTTGAGGTACATACATGAACCTTGCCTGCATATTGTAAGAAAAGGATCCAACCATAATGTCAAAATACTTGAAATTTGAGGAGAAAAATAGTGTGTTACATTTGGATGTAATCGTTTACATGTAAATTCAGATAAGGGGGTGGGCACCCAGGCTTCAAGTTGGAGTTAAGAACCTTGGGTCTATGTTTCCGTTTACATTGTACTAAGGCCTCCAAAAAGCAGGGCCACCAGTATCACCAAATAAACAGAGGAAAAATTACCCTGACCTTATTTGCACGGATGGTAAAGCAATATTGTATACAGAACCGTGCCTCTAGTTCTGTTCCTGAATAGGTTAGGATCAGGCACGGTTCTGGATAGTTTCAGCGTATCCAAGAACGTAGATTTGCCCTAGCCATGGTTCTGGATAGTCTCGGCGTATTCAAGAACGTATACTTGACCCAAGAATGGTTTTAGATAGGCATTGACTATCCAGAACCATGCCGGTGGATACAACAAACCTCCTTTCTTGTGATTTCTATTCTATTCTATATGATATTGAGCAAAATCCTGACTTGCTTTACCTCGCAAATTTTGTGCTATCCCTCTGCTTAATTCTGCAAAAAAAAACTTAACCGAGTGTTACACCTAAACAGTATTCAACACATATGTTACATGAACATTTGATTTGAGAGAAAATTCGGCAAAACTAGCCGGTATGATTACAGCAAATGTTAACAAGGCTGAGGCAATAAAAATCATTGCCAAGGCGACGACTGAATGATATATATTATTTCATGTGGTGGAGCTAGCAATCTACATTACAATTATCAGGAGAACATATTTCCCTATGTTATAAAATTTACAGGATGGGTGGAGGAGGTGTGGGGCAATATACCAAATACACGTATAGGAGGAATCAGCCGTTCTTCCCCAGCAATATAGATTTTATGATGACATACTTACTTTACTCGAGTTCCCGCTAGAAACAAACTGAAAACCATCCTCCACCAGAGACTGGATTTTATGTCTGGTCTGAAGTTGTTACTCCTTTGACTTTTTTTTTACCTTTTGTGGGTTCCAAAAGGACGGATAATTTCTTTTCTCTCTGTGACCTGTTTGAATATGGTCTTTTGCCAAAGACAGCTGTGCTCTCTGTCCATGGTGTGGGGAGAAGACTGATGACCAGTAATTAATCATGCCAGGCAGCTGGATGGGTGGCACGTGGGCACCCCGTGTAAGTTACCTGCTTGATCCAAAAACCACATGGCCCAAGGTTTCCTCCAAACCAATTCCCTGGGGAACGCATTCGTGCAATTTTTGAAATTCTTTCAAAGCGATCGTAGTACTTACACAAATGCCTCCGCCCCAAAGGCGTCGCCAAAAAGACGCATGTTATGTGCGTTAGAAGACACCAGGACTGACGACATGTAGATATAGCAAACAGTACCGATATAAACCAACAAAATGAACAAACACTGCCAGAATACAGTTGGAATTTATGTTAACAGTATTTTATTGTATTAAAATCACTGTGTATTAGTAATTGCAATAATTATTGCTTTTAATGTTAACGTACGAATTAAACTGTAGCACATGGTCAACATGAATATTGGTCGAACAAACCATATTTTCTCGGGCTCAATATGTTCAATGCATACGACGTCGTTGATTTTTTTTATCTCTTCCAACTAAGATCTTAGTTTTCAATGCTCATCATTTGAATATTCAACGCCAGCAAATATCTAAATTTCTTGGTCAATGTGGGGTTGTGGTTTTGACTAAGAATCCAACTCTTAAGGGTCGTATTTGTTGATCGCCGAAAGGTCGACAAAATTTAAAATTTGTTTGAGAGGTGTGGGGTTGTGTTGTGTCCCGGGTTCGAATCCAGCCAAAACTCCAACCTTGTGCCCTTGTGAAATGAAAGGCCCTTAACACGACTTTCCTCACTTCGCTCAGGTGAAAATGAGTATGCCAGAATGATCATTATCATGATCGTGGGCATCAAAGGAACGCCAAGCCAAGAGAGCCCATTGAGCGCATTTTTGAAGGCAAATTGTAAGCAAACGCACACACAAACACACCGAAAACAAACAATACCTCCGCGCACTGAGGTACCAAACCCCAATATATTTTTGGTCGGTCCCGTTTGGCTTTCGTGAGAACGGCGCAGATGTTGTTCCCAGTACTGCAAGGACTCTGACGCAAACCATTTCCTCTCCGATCTGACCCCCGCACCCAGAGGTTATCTCACCATATCCTCTTGGTTCTTAGAGCAAACACGGAATGCACGACAACAGGGTGTGACGTGTTAAGGAGTGGGGTGGTTGTACTGGGTCACATGGGCCCCAGACACACAGGCCGGCCATGGCCTCCCGACCTTCTCCAGACCATGGTTGGGTTGGGTGTTAGTCGTGTGCGTGTGCTAAGTTATTTGGACCAAACACGGAGTACACGACAGCAGGGTTTGACGTGTTACGATGTGGGGAATGGCTGTAATTCAGTAACATGGGTGATGCCTAGTGCCTCAGTAACATTTGATAGTCCGCCATGGCCTCCCGACCTTCTCTGGACCATGGTTGGGTTGGGTGTTAGTCGCGTGCAAGGTTATCTGGATCAAACACGGAGCACACGACAACAGGGTGTGACGTACGTGTTAAGGTGTGGGGTGGTTGTATTACGGTCACATGGGCTCAGCCACACACACATGCCGACCATGGCCTCCCGACCTTCTCCAGACCATGGTTGGGTTGGGTGTTAGTCGCGTGTAAGGTCATCTGTGTTTGGAAGTTGGTCGGCAAAGGTTCTACTAGGTCACAGCGGTATTACGTATATATGTTCGATATACAGTGGAATATATGACGCAGCCTAGATACATGTTAGACAGGATAAAATCATGACGTCTTTTTATATCCGGGCGGGCACGCTATACTATCGTGATAAGTGTGAAGCAATTTTTCCCCTGGTAGATAGCCACGTGTAGTGGGATACCAATGTACAAATGTATATTCAAAATCTAAGTATTTGACTTTGACTTTATTTGGATACAGAATTAGCCTCAGTTTACACTGTTGCTATTCTTTCTGTGGTTCTGCATCAATAACGTTAAATATATATTCAGTATTATTAGAAATAGTATTTAAGTTACTAATGTAATGATTAAACGTGAAGGTAAATAGTAAAATGGGAGAAAAAGTGGCCACACTGTACTTAGATATGTGTTTGCTATTGGTTTGCTAAGAATAGACTTTTTTTCTAATCTAAAGGCGAAAAGTTGTAGTTATCATGTGATGCACATTATGGTAATAGCCGCATTTTACTTATGTAAGCCAGACCTTCCGTCAAATAAGTGCGTTCTACCGGTAGTAGAGGAGTTTACACTTCCACAGCGGGGATGACATCATTTCCGGCAACATTCGAACTCAGTTCGAAGTGTTCGAACGTGAGTTCTAAGAACGCAGCTTCCGTTCTTAGAGCGTGCGTTTTTCGAATGTTAGCGGAAATGATGTAATCACCTCTATGACGCAGAGCAGTTTTGTAGTGCGTGGAATCACGACCATATAAATATTTATAGTGAGCTCAGCATCATTTTAATTGCACAAAATACATTCATGGAAATACACATTTGTAATATTGAGTCAAGATCAATGGGGTATAAAAAACTAGGACGGCCCTTATTCAGATTTGTATAATAAGGTAATAAGCTTTGCATTGGACATTCAATACTTTGAATTAATCTTTACGTACACTGTATGTTGAACAATTCGCGATGACAACCGGAACTCGATGCTTCTCTGGCTTACTGCTATTGTATGCACAAACGTAGCGATCATGATATAAGTAGGAGCCAAAAGTTTTGACCCTTCTTTTTTAGTATGAAGACACGCACATATATTAATACTGAGCATTTTGAACGGATATACTATACTGGGCAACCGTCTTGTTCTTTCCCCTCCCCAAAAACACGAAAAACCAACACATGACCTGTTCTAACCGTGTCATGGTTCAAGCGAGTCGCGAACTTTGCTGGCCGTGACCTAATGTGAACCTTATTAATGCATATCTTTATTAATAACGCGAAATGTCAACACCAGTTCGTACGTGCCCATCCTGTAGGGTATAAGTATAAAGGACGGGTCGATTTCTCAACACTTTGTACCCAAACGAAGGAACTAAAGGGACCGTCGACCGAACTCCGCAATGCTTTGGACTATTTTCTTTGCTGCCGGGCTGGGCGTCGCAGGTAGGGCTAAAAACACTGGATTTTTATGAAGTAAAAAAATATGTAATTTGTATGTATTAGATACGCTTGTTAAGTGCGTTATTTTGTAACTTTGCTGATATAAGCTTTGTATTACGTTTACGTTTTTGGCGGCCATTTCTCCAAAAAACAACAACAATAATAAATAAACAAACAAAAAAAAACAACAGTAGATGGAAGTGGGTAAAACTTGACCGATGCATCCTTTGACGCAATGTTTCTATTTTGCACCAGATAAACTTACCATCTGTTACCATCTTATTCATTATTTACATTTTTGTACGTGTCCAATAGTTAGCATTTGACTTTAAAATTTTGGTCTTATTAAACGACTAAAAACGCTAAAGGTTACTTTAAGATAAAAATTAAGTGGTCAACGAATTACCATGAAAAAAACACGTGGGTGTTATAAAAAAGCAACTTTGATTTTTATTGTCAAGTACGCAAACATATGGTCGATTTTTACTCATTTATCCAGGAAATATATAGCATCGATCCTCATAATTCCAACATATTAAAAAGGTGGTGCTATCAATGCCTTCTTAAGACTGTCTTGACTTGACATCTGGAATTACTAAATAATCTGCATTAGTGAATTTCTTTCCCATTTTTGCTGGTGTTTATCCATAACGTGCACTTGTTGGAGATACATGTACGTCAAGTTTGAATATCGAACACTTGCAAACATCTTAATGTTCCGAGAACTTGTACTAAGAATTCTAAGGGTTCTATCAAATATATGCCCGACTTCATCTAGATTTTTCCCTTCTTTCCTGGCTTCCAGCGTCTCAGTCGACGTGCCAGAACATCAACGCTCTGTGCGGTGCCAGTCCGGGCTGGCCGCTCACCTCCATGTGCCACTCTCACGACTACGTCATGCAGAACTGCCCCGAGTTCTGCGGCACCTGCTGTAGGTTCACACCGCAAACATCCACACAAGATGTCTTATTATGCAGGAAGTTTAAACTGTAATTTCTCAACACAAAGAATAGGACTTAGCCAAATTTTCTTATTGTGAAAGATTTCTTATTGTATCTTTATTGTGATAGCTGTGATAACACCGATGAGCATTGGCAAACTTGATAAACTTTATTGTTCAGCACTAGTTGTACAAAGTACTAGCATGAAGAAAGGCATCTTCTGCTAGTCCCCAACAGTCATGCTATATATCATCAATTCAAAAGACTACCGGTCGGGTTTCACAGTATAGCTTAGGATCGGATGGGAATGTGCACGTGCTTTTACAATCGTTAAGGGAATAACATCTAGGTATTTTTAAAACGGCATTGACCTCCACTCCATATACGTTGCAAGGGTGCAGGTTGTCACTTGTCAATACTTACTTTAATTTGCCTTTTTAATCGTCTTGAAAAGTGTAGCCTTTCACAAATTTAACCACCGCAAGCGTACAATTGAAGAAGACTATTACTTGTTTTAAATACGTTTTACTTGTCTTACCCGCCAGCATGTGCCAACGACCCGCGAGGCCCGTGCTATAACGGCGGTACCCGGGGCGGGAACCCCGCCAACTACAACGAGCACACCTGCGACTGTAACTGTGTGGGCGCATGGACAGGAGACCTCTGCCAAAGTAAGAATCCCGTTCACAAACACGTTTCCCTATTTCCTTTCTTACATTTTTTCAAAGACTTAAAATACTTTTTGGTATTGTATATAATTGCTGTTGTTAACTGTTTTGAATAATTGCTTTTAATATTTGTGCCAACCATTTTTGATAATCTGTGTAATGCGGCAGATCAATTCAGGGTCCTACGGGGACCCTGCTACTCTGTACCGTACTCTATGAAAGAAATAAACCATTATTATTATTATATCTATTGGAAATGACATTGAACAAAGTTTGAAATTCTACAAAATAAAGCATCACTAATTCCAAAGTTTGCGGCGAATTTTTCGTCTTCTTCATTATGAATAACCCAGTGGCGCTAGACACGTGACCATACGGCCGTGTGACGTAATATTCTAAGCAATCACGGTGGAGGTCGACATCGACTTCCACTCACCTTTGACCTCCCTGCTGATGTCACGCGTTCGTGCGGTCACGTGTCTAGAACAACTTCTAGGTCAGTAACCCTGACGAAGGCCAAACTTCCTTTTTTGCTACATGTTTGATTGAGATATTGATTTACCGATACATTGATTCTTCAATTATCGATTTATTGATATATTGATTTATCAACATTTTGATTGATCGATAAAGTGATATATTGATATCTCCAAGCAGATCGTACGGTGGCAAGTCAGTATCCATTGGTCAGGGGAATGTCCATTAGCCACCGTATGATCTGCTTGGAGATTAGATATATTGATAGATTATCATGAAAGTTCATCTGTGTTTGTAGTTACATGTTAAGAGTTCAAACTTTCGATCCAACACAAAAAATTCTCTCACCTAGAGCTTTCGACCAGTCACTTTGACAGTAGACTGACCCAGTGAGGCTTGTCACGTGGCTTCTTTGAAGTGTGACGTCAACACTGGGTCAAAGGTATCTGGTAGACTATGTTGGCCCCCCCCCCCGGTCGCGGTTCAGTGAAGGGTGATGGGCCCTGATGTATATAGCTTCCTTCATCCCTCTCAGGAAATAGTGTTGATATATTGATTTATTGATTGATTTATTTATTGATTGATTGATTGATTGATTGATTGATTGATTGATTTTCCAGCTTGCGGTCTGTCGTGCGCAAACGGCGGAATCCTGGACTCGAGCTCCTGCAGCTGCCGGTGCCAGCCCGGCTGGGACGGAACCACCTGCAGCGGTAGGGCAAATTTCTGTTTTTTTTAAATAACTTTATTGACAGAAATACAACAAACAATACATACAGTGCGGCACATACATAGCCTTTCAAATTTAATATACAACTACCTTTACATACATAACAAACAGAAACATATTAAAATACTAAGACGCCCGCATCATCAGTTACCCTCTATGCTTATCATCCTGATAAAATCAGAAACTAATTGTCTTAAGTCTTTTCTTACACTCTTCAAAACAGGCGAACTGGAGTAAATCCTTGATGCACATCTTATATAAATAGAACTTAATATCAGTGACACAGAAGTACAGTGCGGTAAAGCAAACGCTAGCCCGGTGTCCTGTCTATAGCCCCCCCCCCNCCCCCACCACCACCACCACCACACAC